AAAAAATAAGACAGAACAACGGCAAGGGATTGGGGGCCAATCCGACAAACAAACTATCCAACAATCATCCCCACACCCCTGAGCGAGGTTTCTCACTCCCCCCTTACCTGGATAAGCGGAGTTGAAACTTGGGCAGAGCCTCCTCCTCTGGATTCCCTCTTTCCTTCCCTCTCTTTCTTTCTTTCTTTCTCTCTCTCTCTCTCTCTCCTCTTTCTCTCTCTAAGATTTCACCTTCTCACTCAGTATAAAATTTTCACCCCCTTGCCCCTATTTATAGGCATCCTGGGGTCCCCGGAACAGCCCGTATTGGATTCGGAACCGTTCCGGATCCTTCGAACATAGGCAAATTTAGCAACTAGAATAGCCCGTTCCAAAATCGGAACGACCGTTTCAAAAAGCAGAACGGCCCGTTCTAAAGTTCACGTTAACACTGATTGACCATAGTTGGAACGGCCCGTTTTCAACTAAGGTCTTTAGGCAATTTCATAACCTTGGAACGACCCGTTTCCCTTTGGGAACGACCCATTCTGGGAAAACAAAAATGAGTAATTTTCTTCTTTGGAACGGCCCGTTCCACTTTTGGAACGGCCCGTTCTGGTCCCTCAAAAACAACTTATTTTCATTATCTGGAACGGTCCGTTCCACTTTTGGAACAGCCCGTTCCAGCCTAAAAAATATAATTTATAAAAATTTTCATAAATAATTTTAAATTAATACAAACCTCTAGAAAACCCCTTTAATTAATAAATAATAATCAACAAGAAAATTCAGGGTGTTACAAAAATCATGTCTCTTCAATGATTACAAGTTACTCACGAATCCAATTTCACGCATAAACACATATACAATCAATAAATTTGCTCTATAACATGCAATTAACATTTCGAATCACTCAATTTACATATATATCAATTAATAATTTCATAAATTATCACAACAAGTTCTCCCATAGGAACCCACAAGAACTTCAGATAATTCAATTACAACCCAAAACATATAATTGATCATACATTCCAACAATTCATGCCATTAATTATGAGTAAGAATAACGAGAGCAAAGCAGAAACATTAGGAGAAACCCCTCATACATAGACATATATCATACATTGGATTAGGGGTCAGTCCCATTACCTAGCACACAAACATACAATCAGAGTGAGATTTATCACTCCTCCTTACCTCTATTAGTAAAACGTGAAGAACGTGAGTCTCCGAGATTATCTCTTCTTGTCTCCTCTCCTCTGGGTTCTGAATAACGTAAAAGAAAAATGAGAGCGTGAACAAAAAACTAACGCGTTCTTCTTTTTAAAATCTCTAACCCATACTCAGTTACTTATGTGTAATAATAATAATAATAATAATAATAGTAGTAGTAGTAGTAGTAGTAGTAGTAGTAATAATAATAATAATAATAATAATACACATTATAATAAAAAATAATCGTCATATAATTTGCTCAAAATAAATATATAAAATATAATATCAACCTTGAAATGCTTTCTAACATCTAAGATTTAAAATTGTATAATAAAATATATATTATTAATCTAATTATGAAAATGTAGGATGCTACATTCACATTATGCCTCTCAAAGTCGGCATCTCAACAAATGTATTTCATGACATTTTACATAGTGACATTTTATTTAACTTTTTTAGTAAAAAAAAAAATCCTTCACTAATCACAAACTTTCATGAATAGCTCTTTTTTGAGATGTACAATCACTTTTAGGATCAACAATTATCCTCACAAATTAACACGAAAATTTTCAATGTGTTTTGTTCTCACTTGCACACTTTCTAAATTTTTTTTAAAAGGTAACTCATTCCTAAATTACTTCAAGTCAATTACATTTAATTATGGAACTCTCGAGTGATGAACTATAAAAAAGGTAGGTATATATTATTGGTATAGTTAGTCCATATTAAATCTTTTTAAGTCATTCGCAACGGCATAATCTCAAACTTGTATAGTCTCAAACATATATAACCACTAAATCTCTCTCATTCTGATGTGTTCAAAATGTTATCAACCATTGGAATTCACTTAGCTTGTGAGCAAACCACATCATACAAGAAGAGAAGACATACTTTGATGTTGTTTGTAACGCTTCTCATATTTATCATCTCAATAATTGTACTCTACAACATTTCACATGCAATACTTAAAAAAAAATTATTACAAATTTAGCCTACTAATTTTTAAAATTAAGCAATATATATTAATTTATTGTTAACATATTATTTAAAATTAAATAAAAAATGTTGATCGAGTGTCATTAATTGATACTACTTGCAGCTAATTAGCCATGTATAGAAAAATACTCAAAATTGTAGTCTTAAAGATTTTTTAAAAAAATACTTAATTTAATAGATCATAAATCTTAATTGAAATAAAAAAAATAAACATATCATATTTATAATAAAAAAAATATTGTTTCTTATACGAGCAGTGTCACTCACATGTACCTTAATATATTTCTTTAAAATTTTAAAAAATATTTTAATAGTGGGCCAACATTTCATAATTTTAAAAATTAAAAGAGTTAATTTACAATTAAAAAAATCTAGACACAAAAATTTCATATTCAAAAAATTATTGGAACCAAGTTAATTTAAGAAATTAGGCTAAAACTCTAATTTGGTCCCTTATAATATTTTAAAGTTTCAATTTAGTCTCATTTTAATTTTTGGGTTTAATTTAGTCCTACCTATAAAAAATACTAATAATGTTTACCTTTCATCTAAATTTCTCAAACATTGTTTAAGAGCTGTGAGAATCATGTCCGTGATTCTCAATCACGCCCATGATTCTTATCGTGTGAATCACATAAAAAAATCTACTAAATAAGAGTTGTGAGAATCACGCCCGTAATTCTCAATCACATGGATACTCTTAAACGGTGTTTAAAAAATTTAAACAGAAAACAAACATTACTAATATTTTTAATAAATAAAACTAAGGGGAGTGTATTGGATTAGGATTTTAAAGGACTTTTTTGTACACTTTGATTTTCATTTTCAATACACTTCTAACTCTGTTTTTTTTTTTATTTTTAAAACAAGCACAAGACACACAAGGAATTTCTGGTCACAAATTGCTAAGAAACTAATAGCAAAAGAAGTTCACAAAAATTGACTCTAGTTGCTCTTTTTTTCTCCACCACTTGGAAACCTCTTTATTAATTATTTGGCCTCTATTTTAAGTGCTTACTCTCTGTGTTCAAAGAAAAGAAAGAGAAGAAAGAGACAAAAAGATAAGAAAAAGAAAAGAAACAAAAGAGAAAAACCTAGAAAAAGAAAGGTGAAAACAAAACACTAATAGTAGCACTTGGCCTTGAATTTTTGTGTGACTTTTTCTTGAAGTTTGCTTGCTGTCCAGTGGCTGAAAAAAGAATTTTAAATCATCAAAACATTAGCACAAATTTTGTTTTGGTTTTTATAATCCATTCTAGTGCCATTTCTAGGTCTAATCTTTTGTGTGCTAGCTTTTGAAATTTGCCTTTATTTGTTGTTTTTTGTCTTCTTGGCTCTCTTTGTTTTGTCACATTAACTCCTACTAGAGTGTATCCTTTTCTAAATTGTGCTTTTCAGTTTTCATTCCTTGGCCTCTACTCTCTCTTGTTTGGTTGTTAAGCCTTGGTGAGACATAATACTTTTCAAGCCATCACACTTGGAAGGAAGGACTAATTGAGACATATTGGCTAATCTCAAAGGGGTCTACACTTGAAGGAGATTGAGGTACAAATAAACTGAGTGAAACACCTTGGAAAGGATCACTTGTTTGTTCTTTTTGCAGCCAAGATTTGTTTGAATTTTTAGGTTAACTTTAGAGACGGATTTTGGAAGCCATTTAGAGACGGATTTGGAGACTTGGTGACGGATTTGGAACACTTGGTGAAGGCTTGGTGTAGACACCCAATTTCGTCCGGGAGCATACAAACAAAGATATGGACGTCTATCATCAAAGAATTGGAGCTCCCAAGCATGCAGACAACAAGACAAGATATCAGAATGCCTAAAGCCCAAATACATTGGTTTTAGTGGCCCAGAATGGGCTGTTCCAAAATCGGAACGGCTCGTTCTAAGTCACAAAAAAGGCCTAAAAACCTGGTCTGGAACGGGCCGTTCCAATATTGGAACGGGCCGTTCCAAATCAGGCAAAAGGCCTAAAAATAATAGGCTGGAACGGGCCGTTCCAAAATCGGAACGGGCCATTCCAAACCTAAAAAAGGCTTACAAATATCTAAACTGGAAAGGGCCGTTTTGAGGTATCAAAAAGGGGTAAAATTTGTAACCCAGCTCGAAATTTCTCTCTTTTTCTCTCTTTTTCTCTCTCTTGTATTTCTTGAGATTTTGTGAGGCATTGTAGTGTGAAAGGTTGCCACAAAGCACCTAAAATCTCCATAATTGAAGATCTAATAAAGCTTGTTACGAGGTATTATTCATCAATCCCGTGTTCTATTTTTCTCTTCTTTTATTTTAATTATTGCTAGCATAAACACAATTATGTAGATATTTTAGGGGTTTACCGTGTAATTTAATTTTCATGTAAATAATTATTAATAAAGGGGATTAAATATTTAAATTATTAATTCTTATTACGTTATCTTCATCATAGGGTACCGATTTAGGGCGATTTATATAATTTTTTTAATTATATATATAATTTGTTTTAAGGTTGTTAGTGTTATATTACATTTTTTTATATTAGTTTATTTATATTTTATATGATGTATGAAATAATGTGTTGTTATATTTTATTATAGATGGCATCATCTTCTACAGCTATGCGTGTGACATGTGGACCCATTGAAGATGATTTATTGACATTGCAAAATATACATGTTTCACAACATGTTTGGAATAGAGAAGATGATAGGAGATTCAAAAATTAAAATAAAAGTAAATTAAAACTTAAAAATATTATAAGGGAGTAAATTAAAATTTTAGCATATAAAATTAAAACCATAACTAAGTTATCCCAAGAGATGTTACGGTTCACTACACTAACATTACTTTGATAGTCTAAAAGCTAATGTTGTCACTGAGACTTTGCTTCTCTTCTTTAGCCACTCACAGTCACAGCACCGTTTCATGTTCTTCGCGGAGATTCTTGTTTTTGGTTCCGCGTCAAATACTCAACACCACCCTATGCCACAGCTCCAGAAAATTTTGTTGCTGCTATGGGAAACCCACTAAGCAAAATGGGTTTTTTCCAGTGGCCAGTGACCTTCAATCTTCCTCTTCTTCCTTCCCCAAAGTTTCTCCCTTTTCAGGTACCCATTTCCCTTTTGTTAGCCTCAAAATGTTTTCTTTGTGGCACTGTCAAGAACCCATATGCATAATGTTCTACAAATATCTTTGCTGTGTTTTTTTCAGGATTGGAGGACGCTGTGGTGAGCTATTTATTTGGAAAGAAGAGGGCAACTGACGTTGCTCACATGTATGCACTCATTGAACTTCTTTATCTTATTATGAGAATTTTTGGGTAAATTTCTTCCAAAGCACTTTGAGAAAATTTGGAAAGAAAAATAAAGTAAGTTTCTAAAAAACTAAAATTGGCTTAGTAACGTATAAGTTAATTTGTAGAATCTCTCTTATTGGCTTTTTCAAAATCTTATTTTTATTTTGGGCATAAGTTTATCTCAAGATGAAGGCAGAATGAATGCCAGCAGAGTCAAGAAAGGATTTTTCTCCCTATTTTTTCTTCCAGAAGTCCTTTCAGAGAAGACCCTACGTTTGGAAATGCTTCTGTTTTAAAAAAAAATTGCTTGCTTTTCCGTTTTTGAGATTAGGGATCGAGATATAAATCAGTTGTTGCCCAAGAATATTATGTTCCTAAAACCTCTGTGGCTGTTCTGCTTTTGATTCTCTACAAAAATGCCTTCTCATGTTTACTTAAAGTTTTCAATTTTGACTTTTGAGTTTTTATTGTTTCTTCTAGTAGAGGGGCATATACTAATAAGGTGGGATATGATTGATAAATAAGTGTATTCCTTTAACATGTGGTCAAGGATTGGGTCTCGTGGTCCGGGTGTATGAAAGTAATTTGCTGAAAGAAGTCAGCCTCTATATTTGATCTTAATACCTCCAAGGATTAGTCTGACTTTGAGCTGGGAAAGGGGCAGTTCAAAATTTCAAACTTTTTTACGTGCTGTATTTTTCTCTCATAACCATGGCTGAAATACTATTCTAAAACTGTTTTGTGTGATTTATTTGTTGTCACAAGTAATTATATGGACAAAATTTATATATAGTACATTGTTGGTGTTGTTCTGCAATTATAATTAGAGTTTTAACTCAGTAATACATGTTGACATTTAATAGAATCCTTTATTATGTGTATTACTAAGATAAAATTCTAATTCTAGAATTTCCTGTCTCATATGGCTCAACAGCCAATTCTTTCTTCTTCTTTTTTTCTTTTTTTCCAATTTTTTTGAAGTTAACTAAAACAAAAAAGAAGTTATTAACAGGAGTTTCAAACTTGAATTTTGACTAATAAAGAATTTCAAAGAATCTCATCTTTTTTTAGTTTTGTCTTTTCTCCTACATGGAGAACAACACCAAAGCACCTATGGTACTTCACTACTGCATATAAGTTTTATCCTAATTATATATAGATTGTGTATTTTTCTTAAATAATTAAAATTATGCATATGCAGATGTTTTATGAGAGTATGATACTAGAAAATTACATTGTATATTACCGATTATTTATGCAAGTATTGCACTTGGAATCCATCTCATGCTGCATTTGTATCACATAGACATAGAATGCTGAGCAATTTTATTTTTTGTGTAGTCCTAAATCCTAATAACTTTTAGCAAAATTCTTTTTTATTATTATTTGATTTAGAGGGTTTCTGTTATATATGCATTTCAGTTTCCATGATTATAGGAGGAGCTTGGGTTGATTTAAAAATATCCAATTTTGTTACAGAACTCTATTTGGCAGGTCTTCTGCATATAAGTTTACTGACATATATTTTGCTACTTATGCTTGTTATTATTCTCGTATTTATCTATACGACTTGTTATGGTAGTGCTTTAGCCTTGATAATAATTAATAGATATATTTCTTGTTCCTACCAGGGTGTGGAAACATGTTGTCCAGAAAGGAGACACTGTCATTGATGCCACTTGTGGCAATGGTTTTGACACCTTAGAAATGCTTAATTTGGTTGCTGATGATTCTCATTATGGTTATGTATATGCATTAGACATTCAGAAAGATGCTATAGATAATACTTCACTCTTGCTGGAAAAATCACTTAATTCCAATGAGGTGAGGACTATAAATGATCTAATAGTTTTAACTTTGAATTCCAATGAGCTAACAGTTTTTAGTTCTATATAATTGTCTGTTATATAGCCATAGACAAATTTAATCGTATAACACTGAATGCAGCTATAAATAATTCAGTCTTAATTTTACCCTCTTTTTTCAGCAGTGCATAATTTTTCAGTACATAGTCTTAGCACTTGAACTGGCCTTGAGCCTTTTAGTTTTGGTACAGTTAATTTGACAACAATTAAGAATTTTCATGTCACCATCAATATTTTCAAAATACGTGCAGAAACAACTAGTCAAGCTGTTCAATATCTGCCATAGTAAAATGGAGGATGTTGTTCCAAGGAATGCCTCGGTTAGGTACTTGCTTCGTGTTCCCTTAACTTCATTCCCCTGTTCCTACTTTGTGTTTAGAAGCTTATGATAATAAATAACTGGTGTAGTTAATTTCATCGTAAACCCTTATATCATTTTCTGCAATTATAAGCATTTATTTAGTCCTTGAAATTATAAAATTATTTTTAGTCTCTTAACTTTGCAAAACATCATTCACTTCAGTTCTCTTTTATATGAAATGATGGTGGAAAATAAAGGGGAGAAAAGAACTCAAATAAATAACCTTTTGCAATGTCAAGGATTAAAGTAAGAATTTTGTAAAGTTAGGAACTAAAGTGATTGATGCTTGTAATCTTGTAGACTAGGATTTTGGGGTATAGACTCTTAATTTAATTGTATTATCTGAAATGAAATCTATTATATTCTTCATTTATAGGTTTCTTGAATAAAGAATTATAATTTCAGTCCTTATTCCAACTTGGTCTCAGTTAGGACCCTAAATAGGAATTTGGGCCCAAATGAGCAGCTAGCTGATCAATTCCCAAGTCCATAGTGTGGCGGGTATATGTTAGAAAAATTTGGAGAAGCCAAAGTGATGTGGTAGGGAGCAAGGGAGAAGTGTCAATTGTGTAATGAGATTCATATGGGATAGGGGAGAGAGGTGCAAATAGAATTAAAGTCTGTTTGGATAAACTTTTCCATAAGCTTTTTATAGAAGAAAAAAAAAATTGAAATAAGTTTTTTCATAAGTTAAAAACTTCTTTATGCGTAAGTTAAAAATAAGATTTTGAAAAAGTTAGTTGATTTTTTTTTTTGTACAAAATAGTTTATGCATAATAAGCTTATGACAAGATCGTGCCATTTTTTCATCTTATTTTTCCTTCTTAGATGTGTTACTGGAGAAGTTTACTCAAATAAATCGTTAGAAGTTTGTTATGGACAGAGGGTATTAGTGCCTCTGTAGGAGCTTTGTTCTGTGACAGTTGGAATTCTCTTCCTCTGTATCCCTTTCATTAGAATTTTTTTCTCTTTCATTTATGTATTATTGTTGCTGTGAGCTTGGGCTGCTGCTAACAATCTCACTTGCATGAATCTTATCCAAGGGTAAACAGTCATCTCAAAATTTACAATGAATTAATACAAATTGTCATATCATGTCATTCCTCATGCATGGTCAGGCTTTAAAGGTTGATTATGGGTTTAGGTTGGTAAAATATGCCGCTAATTATATATTATTGTTGCCTGTCATGGTGAGTTGCTATGATACAATTTCCTAACATTTAAGGGTGATAGCTATCTTAATGTGCTGTATAGGCTTGTTGCATTCAACTTGGGTTATCTTCCAGGTGGTGACAAAGAGATAATAACAAGATCAGAAACAACACTACTGGCATTAGAAGCTGCAGAGAGAGTTTTAATGCCAGGAGGGCTTATCAGCATAGTGGTTTATGTGGGGCACCCTGGTGGAAGGTTATATTCTGACTCTTTAGCTTGTTTCAGTAATATATCTTTGAATTGCCAAATTTGCTAATTTTCCTTCAACGTTTGTTAATTATCTTTGACTTGTTGAAGCTTCACTGGCTTCAGTGAAGCTTTGAGCATCTCAATTAGTTCATTAAGATATATTGTAATAATTTTTCTGTTCCATATGGCCCAGCTGGGTTTCATGATTTTGTGGTCGTTATATTTTCTTGAAATTTTTTAGTTTCATATACATTTCAGTTTGAATGATACTTTTACCATAGTGAATAGTGTTATTTTTTGGGTGTTAGGGGAAACACTCTAAACAATAATGTTTTGTACAATATTTGTCTAATTTTGTTAGATACAATGAGTTTATTTGGATAAACTTCTGAAAAACAATTGTAGGAGAAGGAAATAGGAAGGAAAAATATTTTTTTTTTCATAAATTAAAATTAGCTTCTCTATTTTTTTTAACTTATATATAAACTAATTTTAACTTATTGATAAAATAAATTTTACTTTTTTTTTTTATTGGTGTTCATAGAGAAATCTATCCATTCAAACCTTATATAACAAGGAATATACTTTCTATGCACTAATGTTTTGGCTTCTTTTCAGGGAAGAATTAGAAGCTGTTGAATCTTTTGCCGCTAGATTGTGTGTTGAGAATTGGATCTGCTGCAAGATTCAGATGTTAAACCGGCCTTTTGCTCCAATACCAATTTTCTTATACAGAAGATAATGTAAATTAAAACCTTCTCCGATATATTGGTGGCAAGAATTACTAGTCCTTATAAAACAAGTTCTTTTTCTTTGTCAGATTTATTCAACCAAAGTGATTGACTTTATCAAAGGCTTCATCCATTTGATTTCTCCCAGTCCAGCATTATGTGGGTAGTTGAATTCATCTTAACATTTTTGTTTCTGAGGTTATACTGACATCAACAAATTATCTTAGTTGTATTGCCCTTAGTCTTTTTAAGTAAGTCTTAAATTCAAATATTGTAGATTGAAAAAATTGTAGTTGAGGGGCGAGATTTTACTGTAAGTGATTTGCTGTGTTCATTAGTGATTAGTTATTGATGAAGTTGGTATTACTTCAAATCAATAACATAATTAAAAAAATATAGTATATAAATAAGCTTTCCAATTTTTGTAACTGACTTGTAATTCTAAACCTTGAGATTATTTTTGGGTTGAATTAGTCATTTTTAGTATTCTTATCACAAACTCTATTTTACTTATCCAAATAATTTAATTAGTCATGGGAAATAAAGTGGGTATAGAAATTGCTTGTTTGTGATAATTTTTGAAAAAAATATTTTAAATAAAAATGTTAAAAAGGTTTTGATATAATTATTGCCTTTGTAATTTAGCAATTTTTCTTGAATATGAGTCCTTATAATTTTTTTTTTCTTCACTATGATCCTTACAAATTTCAACTTGTACGTTTAAATACATTTTTCTTTTGAAAATTTTTCAAATCAACCAGCCAGCTCAATGTGGTGGTTTTCAAGTGATGAGACATGAGACTGTATGTTATTAACAAGTGGCGTTTCTCATACTTAACAATTCTACGAGTCTTGGTGCATGATAGGAAGATTCTCGAAAGAACATTAAACTTTGCTAAGATGATAAAACATAATGTGTTTGATTATTAATTTAAAAGGGTTTATTAGGAAAAATCCAAGTTCTATATTAACTAGAAGTTCTATATTAACTAGAGATTAAGCAATTAAATAGTATATAAGTGAAAAACAATCCTTATCTTACAAGCTAGTTTTGTAGAGTTGAGTTAAGCTTAAATCTACTATTCTAAGAAGGTCTAAATAATCTCACTGCGACTCAAAATTATAATTAAGTGAATTTATCTCGTAATTAAACTCATTATATACCACAACTCCTTAAAATTACCACTTTTTTTATTATTTTTTTTATAATATATAATTATAAAAGGCATTGCTTATTTAGCATTTTCTTCTTTTGTTTAACTTAAACAATATGTTATAATTTAAAAAAAAAATTCATTTGCATATATAAAACTTCAAATTTAGCATTTATTTGAATACTCTTAGTTACAATCATATTTATTATTAATTCAAATAATTTAACTACTTATAATGTAAATAACGTAGTTACAAGATTTTGTTATATGGTTTAATTTTATTTTGAAGAAAAATTCTTTTTTAATAAAAAATACTAAATACATTAATTTATTTTAAATTATTTCATTTTAAAATTTTAAATATTATTTTTAATAATATTTTAATAAACTCATTAAAATTAAATGACATGTTCATAAAAATTTGCATGGATTGAAGGAGAAGTGCATTACCTTCATGGAACCAAAAAATAAGCATCCCCAAACAGTGAACATTATGTACCAAGAGTCTGTAACAGAAAAGGGTACCAATAATAAGAATATCAAATATAATTGAAATTCCTAGTATAAATATAAATAAATAAATAAATAAAGCCCTTTCCTTCTTCATGGTATTCCTTATAATATATTGGAACTAATTCAAATTAAAACTTTATAATATATTTGAAAATATTTTATTTAATTAGTATTTTCTCAAATAAAATATCAAGTTTAGATTTTTTTTATGTGCATAGAACTTAAAAAATTAGTATTTATTTTCATATTCTTAGAAATAAGAAGGGGTAAGATAACATGTAGAACTTCTTAAAAATACAAAAGTCAATAGGACTAAATTTATTTTATATTCAACTCTAAATATTAAAATATTAGGTTTTTGGGTTTTTTTCTTTGTAAATGTTCAACTTATCTATTCATACTCAAATTCATATTTGCACCCGGCACACATTTTAAAGTTTGAATATATTCTGTTTAATTATACTCTTGGTCCTATAAATAGTTCAATCAATTTTACTTTTTAATCTTTACATATTGATTTTACATTTTTTTTAAGTCTTTATAGTTTGATAATTTTTTTAAATTTATTTCTATATCAATAAAATATATAGACTAAAAGAAAATAAAATGATGTGTAATTAAAATAATTTTTTAATTAAAAATTAAAAAGTAAAATTTATAAAATTATAAGAATTTAAAAGTAATTAAAATATATATATTTTTAGTCAAATGAACAAGTTTTAATTTTACTTACTATAATTTTTATTTTTATTTTTTATCCTTATAAAATATTAAAAAAAATGAATCTGGTAAAATAAAGAGCAATTATTAGTTTTTGTCTCTATAATTATTTTTCATGATTTCTATCACGCTAAAATTTATAGCTTATTTTAAGATAAATAAATACTTTCTTTTCTTTAAAGATTTATAAAAATAGCTTAAAATGTCCTAGTAACATTGTTATCACTAACAATTTTAAGTAATATCAATGATGATTTAACTTTTAATAAACATATAAATAGTTAAAAATAATCATATTATAATAAGTAAAATAATTTTAAATTTTAAAAAAATTGAAAAGACCAAAGTTAAAATTTATTCAATTTAAAACTTTACATCCCCTATGTAACACCCCAATTTTCAAAAAGGTTATTATTAT